AGCCCTAAACCCCTAAACCCCTATACCCTAAACCCTAAACCCTAAACCCTAAACCCTAAACCCTAAAGCCCTAAACCCTAAACCCTAAACCCAGAGAACCGAGGTCTACTCTTTGGGCAGGCTGAGCTATGCGCCTGCAGGAGGTCTGCTGGAAGCCATGGGCGACTATGCGCGGTCCTCGGGCTTGGGCAGGGAGGGTTTAGGGTTTAGGGTTTAGGGTTGAGGGTTTGGGTAATTTAAGGGCCTGAATAATTACCTATACTATTTTGGGGGTTCCTTCTTATAATTAGAGAAATATGGGGCCCGTAATCTCATTGTTTTCTGTATAATTATAGGCTACCCCCAAACCCAATTCGAATTATTGAGGTCCTACATTAGGGAGTTTCGGGCTGGGATTTCGGGTCCGGGGCTTGGGGCTCCGGGTTTCGGGACTGGGGTCTTATTGGAAGTTTTGGGTTTACCGTACCCTGAAGTCAGGATATGGAAGCCTAAACCCTAAACCTTAAACCCTAAACCCTAAAGCCTAAAACCCTAAACCCTATAAGCCCTAAAGCCCTAAACCCTAAACCCCTGAACCTTCTGGTTCTGTGCTTTTCGGCCCCCATTGCCAGATTTCTGAGGCCCCGCACTTTGAGCTCTGACTGCTAGAGGGTGTGTTTATAGAGTCATGGTAGCGGCCTTGAGAGTTAGAACAGGGTTTTGGGGGCTCCTTATTATAATTCTAGTATAACATACCCCAAGCCCTATTCTAATTTTTTAAACGCCTTTTTCAGAGCTTCTTCTCTTCTTGTGGAATTCCGCCAAGCTCCACTTTCTGGATGAGCTGGCTCGGGTGAGAACGCGAACATGCTCAATAATTCCATGGGTATTCCGATATGGGACTTTCCGAAACTTGGGGTGCATTATCTTGGGGGTCCTTATAGTAAGGAACCTATTATTTAGGGTGCTATATTAGGGTCCCCTATTTTCGGAAACCCCCATATTGTAACTTGCTAGCTTGCGTTCACGGCATCACGTGCCCAGCGAAGGTCATCGACAGGTTGGACGACTTCAACCCCGTCCAGCTCACGAAGATTGCTCCAGCCTTGGAGTTCGCCACGCACCTCAAAGACATCCTTTGTGCGAGAAGCCCGTAGCACCCTATGCAGGCTTGATATAGAAGCCTAAATAATTGTCGTAGCATTTTGGGGTCTCTGCATTATGATCATAGTATGATGTACCCCAAAACCCTATTCTTATACGAAGACCCTAAGCCCCAAAGCCACAACCCCAAACCCCCAAAACCCGTAGCCTCTCTTGTCAGGCCGTTGCAGCCTCTGAGCTCGACTTCAAAAAGAACAGGCGCCAGCTTCAGGTTGAGCCTCGCAGCCCTGGTCCTCCTTTCAAGGGCCCGGGATCCTTTGAGGTAATATAGGGGCCTTCTAAATAAGTATACTATCTTGGGGGGTTCCTTATTATAGTTATAGTATCATGGGCCGCAAAACCCTATTGCAATCATTAAGGCTCCTAGCCCTAAACCCTAAACCCTCGGAGATCTTCTGGGCAGAGACGCGCCATGATGAGCTGCTCACCGCCGTCGGCCAGGCTCATGTTCGCGCTTTGGAACCACATCGCCAGGCGAGGGCTTTTCGGGGCATCGAAGGCGCTTTCCAGGGTTTGGGGCATATGGGGGTCAGTAGGGTTTCCTCTTGCAAGAGTTACGATCATAGCCTCCACAAAGCCTGATGGAGTCTGTGGATGAATACGGCCCGGCTTCTTCATGGAAGCTTGAGATCCTGTTTTCGGTCCTTCAAGGAAAGCTCTGTAGGATAGCTGCAAACCTCGTCAGAGCAGGGTGTAAAATCCTGATACCACGAAGACGGCTACTACTGCCAGCTACTACGACGGCTGCCACGACGACGACTACTACGATTACGACGACGACGACGACGACGACAACGAAGACAACGACGACGACTACGACCGCCGCGACGAAGGCGGCGACGACGAGTGTTGAACAGAACCCCTAGCCCCGCAAAAAGCTATGCTTAGCACTGCAAAACGCCTCACCAACACCAGCTGAGGGGTTGTACACACTTCGCATGAACCGCCCTGAGCTCTTATCAGAGGAAGCCCTGAGTGGTTGAGCTTAGAACCGGGGCACTTCTTTGTTCGGAGGCACATAAAGCTCTTTTCGATCCACCAGATCCTGCTCTTGGCCGGTGCCTCAATATCACTGACTTTCTACATTCGTTCTGTGCTTTGTGGCCATTTCAGCAAGTTTAAACTTGTTGACGGGTGTGCGGACCACACCGAAATGATGATGAGGACTCTTGTCTTAGGGTAGGTGCCATGATTTGACAAGCAGCGTGGCCCAATGTAGGACGACTTTCAGCAAGCATCCCGTGTACTTAACGAGAAATGACAGAACACCCTAGACAGTAAGCTGTAAGCCGCAGCTAGGGAAGGCACCCTGTTCGAATGGGTCTTTCTGCTCAATCACCTCCCAATCTGGGAGGCCGGAGTGACATGATATAAAGGCCTTAATATTTAGGATAGGGTTTTGTGGCCAATTACACTATAGACATAGCAAGGACCCCCCCCCAAAAAAAAAAATAGTACAGGTAATCATTTAGGCCCCTACATCATGGGCCGAATGATGAGTTCCAGTACTCCTTCGGGCTCCCTGATGACAGAATTTAGCTGCCATCAAACCCCCTAAACCCTAAACCCTAAACCCTAAACCCTAAACCCTAAACCGAATTCTATTATGGCCCTTGTTTTGGGCTACCAGGGATGGGGCAGGATCCTGTACTAGTCCTACACCAGCCCCAAGTCTCAGACCCCAAAACCACGAACGCTAAACACCAAACACTAAAGCTCAAAATCTTAAACCTCAAACCTTAAGCCCTGAACCCTAAACCCTAAACCCTAAACCCTAAACCCTAAACCCTAAACCCTAAACCCTAAACCCTAAACCCTAAACCAAACCTTGCGCCCTGCTGCTAGGGTTCAGGGTCCAGGGTTCAGAGGGGTAAGGGTTTTAGGGTTTAGCCAAGCCTGAACAGCGACTGCTCTAAGGTGAGAACGGCGGCTCAGATGCGATTGAAGCACGTGAAGTTCACGAAGGTTCCGGCTTGATTTCTTTTTGGGTTGAGCTTTCCGGGTTGAGGGTGCTTACTCGCTTAATGACTATAGTAGGTTCAGGGTCAAAATGTTTTGGGGTACAGGATCTACGAGGCTGCGGGAGATTGTAGCATTTAGGGTCAACAGAGTTGGGGTCAAGTTTCGGGCTTCAGGTTACCGGGAGCTTGAAGGCACCGCAAAGTTTGCAAAGGTGCCCGCAGATCCTTACCCACACCACAGTACACCACCTCTAAGACTCTAAGCCCGAGGATGATGATGATGATGATGATGATGATGATGATGATGACAAAGATGCTGTTGCTGATGATGATGATGATGATGATGATGTTTATGGTGTCGATAATATGAGTTGTGATACAGTGCCAGCATCGTCTTTGTGACCTTTGCGTGCTCTGATGCCTGTTTGAGATTCCCTATACCGCAGCCTTAACATGCAATCTCATGTAATCCTTAGCCTGAGCCGCAAAACGGACAAAAAGCGACAAAGCCCTCCCGTCACCCCTGAATGCTACAGTCCCAAAGCCTTAAACCCTGACATCCTGTAAATTTGCAACCTTAACACAACCACCGCCCCTCAACCTCACTGCCAGGCAGCTACTGCCGAAGTCATGGCCCGATTGAAAGATTTGGGCCGCGACGCCGGCTTAGAGCCGTTGTGCAGAGTTCCGGATTTAGAGTTTGTTCGCGGCCACTGCGAGTTGAATGGGTTTGTGTGGATGCACTGTCGCCCCGGCGAAGCTTGCCCTGCGACGCGCCCGCAGCCTTTGGCTAAGATAGCAAAACAGGCCGCTGCATCCACATCCGCCGCCACAATGGGACAGTGCGCCAGCACCAGCACGAAGAGCGAGAAGTATCGCCCACTGGGTGAAGTTTTTCGTGCTAAGGTTTTGCCGGTTCACGGCGATGTCGAACTACCAGGAGCCTTTGACATGATTAGCAACAGACGTTCTGTCTATGTTGCACCGTGCGTTTGATTGCTTGCTCATTGGCTAACAGGAGTCCTTAAACCCTAAGCCCTAGAGCAGGTGCTGGTAGTTGACCCTAAACCCTAACCCCTAAACCCTAAGCCCTAAGCCCTAAAGCAGGTGCTGGTATCAACGTTGGGCTTTGCGCCTCTGGCGGTGGCTGCCGCGCCATGTCCTTCACGACGGGAGTCTACCGGGCACTGAACGAGCTGGATGTTTTGGGAAACTGGGCTTTGGAGTACCATACTTTAATACTTTTTTTGGGGAACCCTAGACCCTAAACCTCTCCTTCATATAGAAATTTAAACTTTAATGGTTTTCATTGGATATCGCCCTAAACCTTAATGGTTTTCATTGGAAACCGCCCCGCGAGGCGATATCCAATGAAACCCATTAAGGTTTAGGGCGATTTCCACTGAAACCATTAAGGTTTAGGGCGATTTCCAATGACACCCATTAAGGTTTAGGGCGATTTCCAATTAAAACCATTAAGATTTAGGGCGATTTCCAATTAAAACCATTAAG